GGGTGGCTGTGGCTACAATGTAGCTTGCCATCACCAGTGTGTGAATGGGTGGATGACTGGATATGTAAAGCGCTTTGGGGTCCTTAGGGACGAGTAAAGCGCTATATAAATACAGGCCATTTACCATTTACCATTTAAAGAACTGATTTCTCTGACTCAGTCAAATATGAGGAATCCAGTTTATCAGATTCTGCATCTAAACTTTGGACATCTAAAGAAAGACTGAAGATCTCATATTATTGTGTCCTGTGAAGAAGTAACAGATAAAGTTAATCTGAACAGAAAACACATCTTTAAACATGTTCAGATGTTTAACATAAAAGCTAATCATTCACTTCTTGACCCCACAAACAGCTGCCTTCATGATGCTGACAGAGGAGAAACAGCATCTCCATCTCACGTTCAATGTTAGAATAAAACTCCAGCAGACAAAGGGAAATGATCAGACAACTGAACCCAGAGCTGCTTCTGCTGGCTTTGAATCCAGGAGGACACCATTAGAAGATTGAACAAACATTAATGAAGCTCAGCTTTTAAATAAGAAAAAAATAACATAAAAGTGCCCAATCATCCAGGTAAAAAAATCCCAAAAAAGTTGATGTTGTTCATCTGGACGTAGTGTTTTCAGCAGGAGAAACGATTCATCATCATCCAAGTGGCTTCTTCAGTCTCGGCTGACTACAGGTGTGCCCAACCTTATAAATAGTACATTTATGTTATGACTGTAACTAGCCCACTGAATGACATGTCATAACCACTGATCAGCAACCACTGATCAAAGACCATGAGTACCATTCACAGAGAGTTAGGAAATGGCTGCAATCACAGCATTGTAAGAGGGTGATTGATTCCAGTCAACTGAGTTTTTTTTCTTACCCCTCCCAGTTCAAATGCATCAGACTTCCTATCTGTGGAAGGCTGTTTACCTCAGCTGCCAATACTGGATGAGAAGCATTTGCCTTGATTTACTTTTTTTTTTGCCTGTCCAGCTCAGCACTGTAGCAATCAGAATTATTGTCTCAAGGCCAAATAAAATGCCCAACGGATTTATTTTTCCAAGTGGATCATTATTGGTCCACTAGATCTTTATTATTATTATTATTATTATTATTATTATTATTATTATTATTATTATTAATTCAAGAACCACCAATACACCGACGGCTGAAGGCATCAGCCGCCAGCAGGGAATGTGGTGGGGGGAGATAGGCCCCCGCACCTGGGGGCCTGAGATGTTCCCAGAGACGTGGAGTCTAAAACCCGACCTGACACATAGACATAGACAAACAGGCACACACAGACACAAACATGCATTCCTGCCCTCATGCACACATATACCAATAGTCAGCACTCGCCCAACATGGAGACAAAAGAAATGAACACTGTATACCTTGATTTACTCTTGATCAAACTCTTGATTAAACAAAAGGAGTCCGATATGAGTCAGAAATGAACTTGTTTATCCACATTTTCGTATGCAGCCCTGACTTCATTTCAGGAGATGAAGCTTAATGTGAGGAGGAAGAGGATGAGATTTTACTAAGGTTACTATGTTACTTGAAAAAATTAATTTGTAACTAATTACTGATTAATTCTCCATTTTTGAAAGTAATTAGTTACTTAGTTACTTTTTAAAAACATGATTTACAACATGAATAGGTAATAAAGTGATAGACCTTTCAGCCCAATTCTACTTTTTCTGCATAATCCATCATGTAAAATGTAATCAAATGAAAAAGTCTCTTTTTAAAACTGGATTTATTAGTTTTAATTTTTTAACTTTATGCACATTGCATCAGGCAAAAATTAAATTATATGCCACAGTTTTTGACTTAAAGAAATTAGTTTAACATTTAAAGCCATTTTCTGCACATTCCAGCACATAAAATAAAATATTTTTTTGTGTTTACACTCAGTCTTTCAAATAGATGCAAGTAAAACACAGCAGAAAATAAATCAAATCAAAGACTCAGCAGCACTGAGTCCTGTCGCCTTTTTTTTCACCTGTTTAGCAGGAGTGGAGCAGGCGGAGGTTTGCCCGGTGCCACAGCGGTCATGTCAGTGGGAGGATCCGGGGGTTTCACATTCCCATGGCAGCCTGCTAGGTACTTGCTCAGAAGTTTAGGGGTTTTTTTCCACTGTAAAAAGAAGTTTTCTTCCCACGAAGTGTACAGCGGACGCTAATGTTTTTGTCACTTTTTACAGAATCAAACTCAAAGTAAGGTCAGTACTTCCACGCTTTAAACGCTGCATGGTGATACTCTCTCTCGCACTCGATATATTATCCATTGTTGATCTGCACACGTCTGTTACCACAAGCGGTGCACATGCTTACGTCATTATCATGAGACACTCTCACAAACAAAATCACAGTTTGTGGTAGGGCTGCTCGATTATGGCAAAAATGATAATCACGATTATTTTCACTGAAATTGAGATATCGATTATTTGACGATATTTATTTAACAATAACAATGTATTGAATAATGACTTTAAAGATTGTCAAAAAATAATATAAAATAGTGTGCAAATACTGATAACAGTGCAAATGTTTGCAATATAAAAAATAAATGAAAAATGTAAACATCTATGTTTAGTGAACTTTGCTACGGTGTTGCTCTGTGGTGCACCTACAACACCATAGCAAAGTTTACACACTGTGTCTACTTGATCCACGTCTGACTCCGTGAACCATAATGTTTCCACACCACTGGAGTTTTTTTTTTTTTACCTCTCTTTTCAACCAACAGCAGTCACTCTCCTCTCCAAATAACTTCTGCTTAGCTTTCCGAGTTTTCCTTGGTCTTTTCATGTGTGTTATGAATAAATTTTCTTTTTTTCGGTACCGGTACTAGTTTTATTTTGTTGTATTTATCCGCGACACCTTAAAGGCCGGTCCATGAAAATATTGTCGGGCATAAACCGGTCCGTGGCGCAAAAAAGGTTGGAGACCGCTGCTCTTAATTGTTGTGACACGTGTTCGAAATGCAGAGAGGTGCGCTCGATTTGCAACACGGAGCAGCGCAAGAGTAAAGCACGAGGGAGGGGCTAATAATCGGCTCAGTCATTTTTAATGATCGTTGAAAGCCCAGATCGTAATCGAGATTAAAATTCGATTAATTGAGCAGTCCTAGTTTGTGGGGCAACCGTGGTTCAGGGGGTTGGGAAGCTCATCTGTAACCGGAAGGTTGCCGGTTCGATCCCCCTGCTCTCTCTGTCCTGGTTGTTGTGTCCTTGGGCAAGACACTTTACCCTACCGCCTACTGGTGTTGGCCAGAGGGGCCGATGACGCGATATGGCAGCCTCGCTTCTGTCAGTCTGTCCCAGGGCAGCTGTGGCTACAACTGCAGCTTTCCTCCACCAGTGTGTGAATGTGAGAGTGAATGAATAGTGGCATTGTAAAGCTCAACCGGTTTTTAACATGCGCGCAAGGATCCAATCCCCCCTGTGGTGCGTCATAAAACTAAGGCACTGTGTGTGTGTATGTGTGTCTTCCTGCTGATCACAAAGTGTCATCTTTCCTCACCCTGTATATGGTGTAATCCCTTTAACGGCCCACCATACACAGGCATAGGTGAGGCCATAAAGGGGAGGAAGTTTACTAAATAAGAAAACAGAACCTTCACATAGGATGTGTCTGCAGTTAAACACTATAGCCTCCCCCACCTTTCTACATGTGGGGGAGGAGACCAGAAGAATATCTAAACATGCAGTTTGAAACAAGGTTTACAAATTTAAGTACAATAATGACAACTATTATCAAAATCAACCTAACAACTACCTCTGGTTGTCTCGTTCCTTCATATTTTTGTTTCTTTCTCCTTCGATGATAGCACAGGTATGATGCTTTATATCTTGAGTCTGAAGGCGCAGAAAGTAATTTAAATGTTCCTCATTCACACATGAACGCATGTAATTTCTCCTCTCCTCCGCCTTTGGCTTAGTATGTATGTGGCCGATCTCTTGTCACCTATGTGCAAAACCATTAGGCAGACGGAAGATGTCCTTCCCAGCCAAGGATTCAAATATGGTGGAACATGGCGGATTTCGCAAACTGGCAACTGCTCGTGTGCATATTTAATAGATTAATCATAAGTCTATGTGTTAGGTTACTGATAGCTAAACTTATCAGTTTTTTGGAAGTTACACATTAATCTATTTAATAGAAAAATACTTTACTCATAAATATATCTTAAAGAATGTCTGACTGCACCTTCAAAGTCTCTCAGAGTAATGAGAAATGCTGGCACCACTTTGGATCTCATGTTCAGAAACACACCTTTGGTTAATGGCAGCAACTGGTTCAAATACATCAATGATCCCCATGAAGGAAACATTCTGGTTTCCATCAACACATTATTCTTCTGAGGCTGCTGGAGGTTAGAGAGTGTGAACTGTAATAAACTTCCTCATAAATAACAGCTAGATCCAACATGTTTATTTCCAACACACGTACTGTATATATGAATATAAGGCAGTATTAATATAAACTCCTCCTGCCTGCAGGTGTGGATGGTGTAATCAAATTCACCTGGTTTTTCCATCAAACAGTTGCTGGAGCTGAATCTCAGTGCTGACAGTAAAGCTGAAATAACTCATTAAATCTACCATAAACATTAATTGCTGCACTACTTTCTAATTATGAGAAGAATTCATGTTTAATTCTGAGAACAGAGTGATGTATCCGTTCCTTTCAGTCAGAGCAGCTTCAAACATGAGACACACAGAAGGGTGACACTGGTCTGTCGATGAGAGCTGTGTTTTATCTCAAATGCTGAATCTGGGACGATCTTCGGCTGCATTCGAGCCTCTCTGTACAGTCTGCATATTGACGCCTACCTCTGCAGAGGCTTTAATCCTGTTACAGTTTCCTTCTTATCGGCTCTGCCTCCAAACGAGCTCAGCTGCTGTGTTTGTGACAGCCTCCTTTGTTTCAGCAGTGCTTGCTTCATAGTTCAGTCACGTTCCAGAAGGTTAAAGGTCATTTATCACCAATAATTGATAAATAGGGGTCCAGGAGTCCAATGGGGCTTTTAATAAGATTGTAATTCCTCTGTAATTAATGGAATTTGAATGCATTTCAATGCAATTGATGGAACTTCAATGCAATTGCATTTTACAGTACAGTACAGTAGAGACAAACTATACTGTAGTTAATTTTAAGTACTGCATAATTTCTTGGTTATTTTGGAGAAAAACAATATTTCCCCGTCTTGCATCTTAAGCACACTTTGCTTTTCAGGGCTTGGGTCGTATTATAAAGTGTTACTCAATGTTTTTTAATTAACTTGATAATTAAATAAAATTATTTTGTCTCCGTAAGGGAAACTTCTAAACCATCAGCATGGCAGACTGAGGCACAGACTGATGAAAAATGATTTCTTCTGTGCTGTTTTTGAAACAGATTTATATAAAACTGTATTAAGTATGAAGAGTCAAAGCTCTAAATGATCAGGCCTGCTTCATGTGACTACCTTTACTGTAAGTCTTCAGCTTCAGGTGTGCTCTAAGATGAAGTCCACCTGGTCCTCCCTGTGAATCCACAGCTCTAAGAACACTGGGAGAGTAAAATCTTTTCTTTGGGTTGTGATGTTTTTTGTCCTTCTAAACTGAGAGACTAAAGTGTCCTCTTACCTGGACAGGTACTGTCCTGAAGTCAGCAGCTCGTGCTTGTTGGGTTTGTCGTAGCAGTTCATCGTGTTCTGGATCAGAGCCAGGTCCGGTCTCACCACAGTCGCCGCAGCAACAGCCCTGGTGATGAGCTGCAGGGCGTCTCTAACGTAGTAGTCAAGCGGTTTCCGTTCCACCTCACCGTAGGCCAGTAGGCCAAGCGGCAGCCCGATGGTGTGCAGCACCTCGGGGCTGAGCGGCTGACCCAGCACCCAGTGTACCATGGGTAACGTCAGGCCCAGGTCCTGGGCGCTGCGCAGCACAGCCGCTGCGCACTGCGGGTCGGCCCCGAACAGCAGCACTGAGGCTGGTGAGGCTTGGTTCTGCCGGAAGTGTCGAGACAGGAAGTCGTGGATCTGCGTGTCATCGTGAGCCAACTGCGTCAGGTTCAGCAGGGCTCGCAAGTGCCAGGTGACCCTCCTGCCGCCCTCCCACGATGCACTGCTGTGATGGTCTAGGAGCTGCAGAAGACCCCGAGCCTCCTCCCAGCCCCGACACAGCACGGCGGTCCCCTCCCGCCAACCGGACCGCTGCAGAACAGTCAGCAGCAAATCAGACAGACCGGACTCTGGAACACCCGTCACCATCTGCAGGTGGAACCGGTTCTGGAGGAGAACAGTTTTAGAAAGGAGAATATCAATCAGATCAGTCAGTCCTGTTCGTGTCTGGAAGTTAAATCTGCTACTAAAGAGCAACGCTCCACAAACCCACACAAAACCACCAAGAAACAGCTTCCTGTTTCAAACCATCAGAGGAGAACATCAGAGAACAGACTCTGGTTTACATGTTCAGTTGGTCTTGGAAAAAAAAAATCTGATATGCTTTTATTTCTGAAGTGTGAATAGATTGTTAGTGACATGAAAACTGTGAACTGATTCCTACGAAGTTCTCACAAAAGTTTATACATGACACACAAAACATACAGCAGAACATACATTCATTTAAAACAGCTTCCTGTGGGTTGAAGCAAACTAACGGAGGAGGGCACCTGTGCTGCTCATTTCCAGCTCCACCTTTTGATTCCGCTGTGGCCACTTCACATGTTTCAACAAGACCCGAGTGTTACTTCAGCGTGTGCGTTTGTTTTTGTTGTTTACACCACATTGCCGGGTGTTCACACTGTAACATGAAGACCTCCCTGCAGGTGTGTTCAGGTATGATAATCAGTCCTGCCGTGACCTTTGAGCCAGGCACTCACCTCAAAGCTGCTGATGTCTCAGCTCAGGTGCGTCTGCAGGTGATCAGTTTATCACCTGCAGCCGCTGATGCTTGAAACCATCAGACAGCTGGAGGCAGATCAAAGAGATGCTGCACTCTCTGTTGCTACGGTGATGCAGGACACGTCCTCTGTCCGTCACTGTGACGATGCACTGACAGGCGGAGCTTTAAGGATTTGAAGTGTCAGACCTGCGAGAACAGAAACGTTGGATTGGCCGTCAGGTCGACACCTCGCTTTACTGCAGTTCACCTCCAAATACGCAGCAGCATGAGGTCACCTGAGGTCACCTGAAGTCAGGACAATGTTTGGTTTTGAACAGATAAGGTTTCTGGGTACACTGTGATGTCATTTCCTGTTTTTACTCTCAGCAGTTTCAAAGGACCACGAAGAGTTCATTTTAAGAATGTTTACGTTTGAGGACTGTGGCCACGCACACAGTCACACGACGTCACAGATCAGAGACGATCCTCGCTTCAGAGCCATGAGATCACAGCAGAATAATTGGGTTAAATCTGAGTTGTGACACCTGAAATCAAGAAGAGGATGAAGAGGAGAAGGAGACAAAAGCAGTTTTCTCAGGAAGATAATAATGATGATGATGGTGGTGATGATGAAGAGCCCAGTGAATATGCAAGTTCCTGAGCTCCAGAAAGTTTTGTGCGGACTGCAGCATGAAACGTTTCCTGAGGAGAAACAAAAAAGCAGCTGATTTTACTCGTTTCACTCCCAGAATAAAAGCAGCCCTACAGGGTCTACCTGTCCTAGGGCATCATGGGAAATGCAGGAAATCACAGATGGAAGCAAAAGGGCCGTGACGCTTGAATTTTTAAAACATGAACTCGTAATCCTCGGAACAAAGGGTCATTTCCCGTTCCCGATGGGATCAAATTGTCAATCCTCTCAACTGCATCTGGAAACGTTTCTGTGTGTGTGTGGGTTTGTGTGTGCGTAAAACACACTGTGTAGTTTTGTGTGTATCTGTGTGTGTGTGTGTGTGTGTGCGTGCGCGCGTGTGTGTGTGTGTGTGTAAAACACACTGTGTAGTGTTTTTCGTGTTTGTGAGTCTGTGTGATGTTAATCGCAGCTGCACAGATTTAACCACTGGACCACTGGATGTGTGTGATGGAGGAACAATGAAACACACACACACTGATCTGCAGTGTGCGCACAAACAGGCTGTGATTTAAACTTAGATCACTCTGAGCAGAATGCTGCTCGCTTCTTCATTTCAGAGGTTGTCAGGATGTCAGATGTTCTTCCTTTCATGAACATTTGTGATCTCAGTACAGAAACCACAATATGAGAAAGAACACTTAATAAAAACACTAAATATAAACGTCATCGCCTCTAACTCAGACATTTGTCCACGACATTCGCCCAGGATCAAACGTATCTGGGATAAACCTGGACCCGAGTTTTGATCTTCTACTGAGCCTGCAGGTGCACCATGAAAAACTCATGAGACATCAACCACCAATGAGATCCTGACGCTGAGCTCCAGGTGCTAAATAAATGTATTCAAACACCTTAACACTGGCCGAGTGTGTTTCAGACTACGTCTACACTAATCCACTGCTTCACTGAGTGAATGGGTTAAATGCAGAGAAGAATTTCCCCACGGGGATCAATAAAAGTGTACATTATTATTTAATCCAGATAAAATTCAAAACAACGTTTTTGTCTAAAAACACTCCGCGTCCGCACTATAGTTTTCAGGGTTTTTTTGTTTCCGAACAGTTGTTCATCCACACTGAAACGACAGAAAACACTTACATTGCTGTATTGTGCATGTGTGAAACGTAAGACAATTCGGCCTGCCTCATTTCTGGTTTATTTACTTTCTGCCTCTTAGAAACGTCGCGGCAAAATGTCGAGGAAAAGAACCACGTTTTTTAAATGGACTGACAATAGGACTGTCAAAATTGAGACCAAACAAAACAACTGCTGTATAATGCTCTCCACTATCTTAGTTTAGTTGGTCACATGACTGCATCATATGACTAAAATGCATCATTGTTTTCGAAAAGCTCCAGGTTCACAGTCCACACTGTGACACAAAAACCAAATGTATCCGCTTTGGAGAGCGTTTTCAAACACCTCCGTTTTCCATGACCAAAAACTCCATCTCAGGGTGGACTGAAGGTCAAACCTGAGAGAAAACGATACGTTTTCAAACGAAAACGTTTAGTGTGGACATGGTCTCAGTGTTTCTGACTCACCTGGATACAAGTGGTATTTTTCAGCACGGAGCTGCAGCTCTCTGCAGCTTCTCCACCTTTCTCCAGGCAGTGCAGGTGCTGGTGAAGCTGAAGTGTTAACTCTGAGGTCTGTTTGTTATTTTGGAGCCGTCAGGCTGTCGGCTCCCTGCAGACTTAAATGAGGCCATCCCGGCATTTCTGACCAGCCGTTTGGATGATAACTTGTCATCCTACAGGAGAACTGCGAGAAGAACAAACCTACCCTCTCTGATTTACAGAGTGAAACCTGAGATCATCTCCTGACAGGAAACACAGGTGAGACCTTAAACACACCATCAAACTCTGAGGAGTTTCTGTTTCGAAAGCTAAAGCTCACCGAAGAGTCGCTAAGACCAATGTGAATGTTTCATTATTCAACTGAGCGTTAACAGCAATGCGGAAGAAAAACTGTGACGTTTCAGGTGATGGAGATATGCAGCTGCTCCGAGTCTGAACAAAGTCAATCAATAAAACACAGAAATGAGATCAAAGCACACACTGAATAAAAGATGAAAACGAGGAGATAAAAAGACAGCAGAGATGAAAGATTCACAGCTGAAACACAAACTGAGTTCATTTACAGCCAAACATTAGAAACCCACATCTGACTGAAGCTGAACATAACAGATTCAACAAGAAGCATCCACCACAGCGACAAAGCAGGAAGCAGGACGGGTCGCTTTACAGAGGAGCTGCTGAGAGAGTCTCAGATCATTCTGCGTTTCACCGAGGAAGGGGTTATTGATTGTCATGCGCAGCAGAAAGAGGAGCATCATCAGCATAGAAATTAAACTTTGATGAGGAACACCCAGCCTGAACTTGGTCCTTTCAGAGAGGATGGGGGAAAAAAATCTTTCTAGCATTCTGAATTGACCCACTGCAACATCGAGAGCTGGCCAGAGGAGTGATGAAGCTCAGGACAGCCTTTTTTCCAGCCAGCCAAGCAGAGTTTTAGCTTTGGGGGATAAAAGACATGTTTTTACACATGTCAGAAATACATTTTCAAGTATTTTATATTGTGCTTACACCTAACCCATAATCACACAGTTTAAACCAGGGTAAAAATGATGTGGTAGACTCAAAAGAACAACACAAATCAGTAGAGTGTCACAATGGGACACGCCGCTAAGGAAAAACGAGGTAAAAACTAAACTAAACCTACACTGGGAGCAGCTAAACGACTATGACATTTAGAACATGAAACAAGAATATGAAATTGAACAGGAACATGTGAAACATGAACGTAAAGAAAACTAAATCTGACGTGAGTATAAACTGTTTATACAGTTTAGGTTATAGGTTTATACTGTATTATATCAGTGTTGACACATCAGTACTTAGACGT